GTTATTACATGAGTTTTGAAAGTTGAGATTTTCATGACATGAATTAAGGTAAAAATTGTTAAGGCTTTTTTTGTATAACTAGGTTAGGAATCTCCTATACCTATAAACTACCGTACTTAACAAAAAGAATGGACAACAAAAAATCCACAATTCGAGGAAAACGATCCACTTCTTAACGTTCTAGTGAATTTTTGTTAACAGAAAAATCACAATTGGCGAATTCAATTTTCAAAATAATTAGTTGTCCGCCCTGAAATAGCCCAGATGTTGATCCAGAAAATGCCCAAATTAGAACCTAGTACGGAGTCCGAACTCCGAAGAGTCTGAACCTGAAGTTCCACTTTCTCGGGCCTCTTTTTACTCGTTATCTTTTGTTATTGTCACGATCAATAAACTCTGTTATAATTATTGTCTCCTAATTATTGTCTTTGTTCCTCCCCTAAGTCATCAGTATTAGCACTATTTGCCCAGCGAGGAAACAGTTGCCAAAGTACAGTTGCAGTTGTATCACCATTCTGCAATGAAGAGTTTCTTGCTCTCAAATCCTGAAAACAAACAATGGATCCAAGCTCAGGAGAAGCGACGTAAATCCGAGGCTGATGCTGAAACCATAGCAGTTGCAGTTGTATCATCATTCCGCGATGAAGCTTTTCTTGCTCTCAAATCCTGAAAACAAACAATGGATCAAAGCTCAGGAGAAGCGACGTAAATCCGAGGCTGATGCTTAAACCATAGCAAAGCTGGTTCGGCGCGAAATGTACTCGGGCCTTTATCGTGAAACTATTGAATCATCAGTGGCAAGTTCCAGTTCTAGAGCTCCGAAGGAGATCATGATCGAAGCACGTCAGCGGCAACTTCACCTTTCCTTAATGCAACAGCTCCTGAAAAAAGTGAAAACTGTCAGTGCTGCTGAAGGAAAGCAGAGTTGTACAGTGTATCGTACCAAGACTTGGGAGCAGAAAGCGAAAGCAATATTCTTCTACCTGCATCCGTCATCGGGAAACCTGGATTTTGAGCTGACTTGCTCATTGTTCTCGATCAACTTGCACACCTTTCAGAATTGGATCAATCAAAAGCAATATTATGGGAAATGGGTAACCTACGTCGAGAATTTAAAAGTCGCTGATGTCTTGCTCTCCATACCTGCTAAGTACAAAGTGAACTATGCTGGTGTGGACACCTCTTCCAAGGTGAATATTGATCCTAAATTTCGCAATTCTGGTTCAAAGCAACTTTTTGTATCTGCCGCATTGTCCAGCAATCGCCAATGTGCTCGAAAGGCTAACTCAAAATCTGATCACATCACCTATATTCGAAACGACATGAAGGCTGTCGGCTCGGGAAGAAAGGTGAAGTACCCTGAGCAAGAAACGTCCGTCATCGAAGCTGTCGTTTGTGCCTGGGAAACATGGAATCCTATGAGCAAATCTTCTGTCTATGATTTCCTGCTTTCTAATCTTGCACACGAAAATGAAGCTGATCAAACGGAATTCGAGAAGAAGATGGGTCTTCACTCGGGCCATGTTACTCTAGCATTGTCTCAGTGGCTGTGGAAAGTTCTCGAACGGCATCGATTCTCTATTCGTGCGGAGTCCATTTTCCAGACTGTCCCTTAGGATTGGTTGCAGATCTGTTTGAAGTCAGCTGCATTGATTCGCGAGACAATGCGTTATGCTGGAGTGACTCGTCTGATTAATGCAGACAAAATGTTCCTTCAGTACTATCCAAAGGAAACCCATTTGATCGCCCCGACGAATGTGAAGAGAGTTGGTTCCAACCGTGCCGAAGATGGCAAGGAAGAGTGCACGGTGGTAGTTGCATGTGAGATGTTTCAGTCTACACTTCTAGCTCCATTCATTGTCATGACTAGACAACCTGACGAGACCCTTTCTCGCCGTTTCTCGAGCTGGGATGGGAGCAGCAAGGTCACGTTTCATCCTAAGCATTGGATGGACAAGCCTGGTTGTTGCAAGTTCTTAAACTGGTTGAGTTCGTGCTTTCCTGGGGAGAAGATTGGCTTGATATGGGACGCTACCACCAGTCACCTTTCGGAGGATGTCAAGGAGAAGGCAGCCGAGCTGAACATTATCCTGGGAGACATTCCAGCGGGATGCACCAGTTTAATTCAGATTTGCGATTCGATTGCGAACAAACCTATCAAACAAGCGTTCAAGAAACAATATGTGACCTGAAAGATGCGTTCAGATCCATGCCCAGGCGGAAAGTACAAAGTCAACCGCAGAGATATCATTACCTGGCTCGAAGAGTCAATGGAGGAGGTGAATTCACGCATGGCACCGCAGTTCCAGATTGCCCAGGCATTTAACACCTATGGACAGGACTTCCGATCGTCTGAGCAGTCCAAATTTGCTGAATATTTGGCAAAACATGAAGAGAATGGAGTCTATCGCGACTTACTCGGCAACCAACGAAGCTTTGACTTGGAATAAAGCGTTTGCGACTTGTTTTGATTTTGAAAATTGTGCCTCAAATCTTAACAAAATAATCGTAATTTCTGCTCAAAAAATGCCACTTTAAACATTAAGAAGATCACTTTTTGAGTTTGGCAAAAATCATTCTTTTTGTTAAGTACAGTAGCTCTAAATGACACTTTTAGTTTTTTCTTTTAGTACAACTCGTAAAAATAAATCACGTATTTACAGAAGTGTTTTGCCTAGTGTGTGTGAGTGCTTGTGAATTTCTTGTAGAATTTTGCCACAAACAAATCCTACCATTTAAATATTTTTTAGAATAAAATTTAAAATCTGAGTTAGTTTTGAATGCCGTTTGATAATTAAGATTCGAAGTACATAATGAGAATTAAAAGATTGCATTAACTATCAACATCTTAGTACAAAACTTATAATATCTTTGCTCCAAACACATTATCTAATATAATATATCTATGTGACAAGGTTGTAGGAAATTTGATGTTCTTGTAAAGTTTTGCATGAATTAAAACATAGATTGAACATTTGAATCAAGATGATACACATTAGTCTGCATAACGCTGTTTGTTATATTTGATGGTTGAAGAACTTTTTTGTAGAGATTTGACAATTTGAACTCATAGATGTTTTTGTGAAAGAAAAAGAGAAAGAGAAAGAAAGAAAAAACAACAACAACAACTACTGTCAATAATCTACAAAATTTGAGCAGAAATGGGGAATTCAAATTTAGAAGGGACAAGATTTTCAAGAAAAAATGTTAATCATATGAATTGGCCAAAAGAAGAATAGCATATGAGTATGGAGTGCACAACTCACTCATGACATCTTGGGAGTTCATCCACAGCCAGGCTCTTAGGTGTTCTAACAGTGAAGCGATATTAATGCAACAAAGGTTGTAACAACTTTAAGTAAAAAAGGGACATTTCTATTTTTTTCAGCAACAGCACAATAGAAAATATCTGGTCAATAAAAATTGTAGGTAGAGATTTTTGTCTTGTTCTTCTATTCTTAACTATAAGAACTACTAACTATCTTAATTAATCAAGATGAAAATAGTTTGATATACTTAACTTCAGTACGGTATTCTCATATATTAAAATAATACAAATATTATATAACATAATATACTTTTCAGACTTAACCGAGTTGTGAGTACTTTTTCTTGAAAGTCTTTGATGCTCTTTGGTGGAAGGCCACACTAAAGGCTTTGAACGAACTTTGGGAAAAGCGTACTGTGCAGGCTGTCATTACGCACTAAAAAAAAATGTACATTTATGTCGTGAACGGCTGATGCAAATGTTCGCGGTGCATGACAGAATGCTGAAGCATGAGAATGTGGCTGCATCAACAGGGCAACAGGGCAGTTGGTTGGACAGGGAAAACCAGCCTGATATTCTATTGTTATTCAATCCTATTGTGAGACATTCCCGATGATGGCAAAGAGAGCCGATGAGGGAAAAGTGACAGTGCGAGCACATCCAGTTGGCCCCAACATGGAAACAAAGGTAACTGCCAGACGTATTGTTCAATCCACGTGAAATCCATACCGCATAATGCTGCGCCAGACATGGATGCATGAAGACGTGGAGAATGGGACTCCAGCTTTCGTTCTCAATTCCAACGAAACGCGAAGCACATCCCCACTCACAAGACCACCGAATGCGTAGCATGTAATACGTAGAATATTCCTTCGCCTGTGCATCATCTTCGTCAGAGGGAGTAATCTTCTTTTACCACAAAATCGCTTTTTGCTGCCAGACTTTCCAAACGCACTTTGTAGCATAAAAAGCTCTTCCACACTTGCATTTCGAGCCCATTTTGCACAGTACGCTCAACTCGTAACCGGTGGGGACAATAGTCCATAGAGCACATTGGGTACAACGACAGCGTCAATGGCAAAGACAAATCGATCATGATCTCTAGAGCTGCATTGAATTCGTGGTGGAGTCTTCACAGACAGATATACAATGTCTTTCATCTCAGGTTCTCGCTTTATATTGGTACCTCTTGAATAATGTGGAAAATACATAGGATCAAAACGGTCTCGAGTCCACACCAATAATATGAAATATGGATCGATCAGTCACTTAAAGGACCCAAAAAGCTTGTGAATGTGGGTTTATGTTATTGTGTATGAAGCTGTCTCACATGCTCATCGGGGACATTTGAGATACATAAAAAAAAAACCGTCTGAAGACTTCTCATTTACCGTTCTTTACACCTGAGCATCATAGGTTTACCCACGAACCTCACAAACAATTACATCTGCACCGGATGGCCCAGCTTGCGTTGTTTCTTCATCGTTGCATCCACCTTCCAGATAGATCGGTCTTAAAGGCTGCTATCTGAAGACTGAAGACATCCATAATGACCCATGATGATCGAAAATGTGTTGTCCGATTCCGAATAACGAGGATCTTAGAGACTGACTGACACAGCACCAGTCCTGATCGGTACCCTGGAAATTGATGATACATCCATGAAACGTTTCAACAGTTAAAAACAGGAATAATCTTAGGTGTCGAGGGGTACCACAATATTCAAGACCATGGTAGAATAGTAAGATGACATTTTATTGCTTAGACTTCGAAGCATCGCTTGCAGTATACAATACAGCCAAGCAACGCGGCCTGCCCAGCTTGTTTCAGCTCTAATATTTTCCAGAGTATGTCTACGGTACCTCTGCTCTACGTAAAATCGATTCTACTTTGTAGCACACTGTCTCTGAGGCAAATGGGCTGCGCTGTGACTGACCATCGCCTCGATTTTTGAAATGTGGACAGTGAGAATAAGTAGTAGAAAACTTGCAGCTCCTTCATCTACTATGAAGGACGTAGCTTTAGGACTTAGGATAGTTCCGAAGCCTCGAGTCCCTGTCCAGCCCACCCCGTGGGAGCGATGGGCTGGTTCATGATCAGTCTGTGAGAAGAATCCGAGCTGGGTTCATTGTCTCTCTGATACCACCGATTTATTTACCGATCCACCGCTGCATCCCATCGTGATGCCTGTCACCCAAAAATAAACGTCAAGGAGATAGAAATACTGTGTCTTCCGTCCTTTAATCCATCTTCCCCTCGTGCTAGTGTGGGGAGTTTTCAGCATACCATGAGTACTACGTGCTCAAGAGAAGTTTCAAGGTCATTCTATGCAGCTCGTAATGCTTGAAAAGCTCTCAATGACATGTAGATACACGAGCGTGCTTAAAAGTTCATATCATCTGGACGGTGCACCTCTGGAACGATTGACGTAAAGGAGTCGGCGATATACGTAAAAAAAATTAGTACTCCAGAATTAGCAATATTTAGGAGTAGTTAATCAGAACTCACCTGAGGTTTAGAGGCAGGGCAGTGTTCTGCCGGGGTAGCATTTCTGTAGCAGAGACTTGATTTGCGCCGGCCGGTAAAAACTCTTCGCCTTGTCGACGAAGCTACAGATGCACGCATCGCTTAAGCTGGCATACTGGTCCAAATCTGATTTGCACTGGGCGCCACAAGTGTTTCTCTGAACGTCGGTCACACAAGCAGCGAATTTGGTGACGTCCACAGCTGGGCAATTTTGGGCATTCACGATCTCAGCCTGATAGGCCAAGACGAGCACAACACAGGCTGCGACGAAAGCGAAGAATACTGCACTCCTTGCCATGACTGCTGACTGCTGCTCCTGCTGCTGGCGGATGATCGGACAGTCTGAGCTTGACAATGCAAGTGGACAGCTCAACAAATGGCTATCGAAAGAATTTGATGTATAATTGGACAGACCTTCGAGTGTTATATAGTTGGTGAAAACAAGTCAAAGAAGCTGATTGTCAGAGGGCTCATGAATTCTAGCCATAATGATTTGAGAGAGATCATAAATAGGAGCACTCGAGGGTAGTTGGAACTAAAAGTTTCTAGAAAAGCAGTGAAAAAGGAGAGAATCGCATCCTCACACATTGTCCGTAAGCAGGTGCAGCATTATACTTTTATAATTACGTGGGTCTCATACAAAGGGACTTCAGCAGAACGAATCTACAATGTTTAAGTCATATAACTGAAAGCCCAAGTTTCTCGAGAAAACAGCAGTAGCGTGGAACTTTATGTGCAGTTATGAGTTGCATAAACTTATAATTGCGGTGGTCCTGTTGATGTTACTCGTAGTTTTGTATTTTTTAATTTCCTTCTTTTTATGAGAAGCTTATCTGACTTTTTTTCTTTTGCCCTATAAGAGGAATGCGAAGGTGATCAACTGGGGCACGTGATCCACGAGAATCTATTCCAATTCAGCTAAGACACCGTTCAAACCACAGAGCGTCTCCCATGTGGTCGCCTTCATCGTGCTGCATGTCATACAAGTGTAACTGTCGAACATCTTTGTACGAATAATGAAATTATGGAAGGCTTTGTGATACGTAAATGAGTCTTATTCACGATACTCTATGTACCAAAGCACTGTACCTTGCAAAACCAATGCGTTGTCCACCGAGACCTGTAAACATCGTCACATAGCAGCATAATCTTGGTCACTATTAAAGTTCAAACTTTTTGTGTTTGAAATATTTAACAAATTTTCTAGCACATTCTTCCTTGATCTGTCCATACTCTAATACGGTCATCACACGCATATCTTGATCCGTGTCCACTTTTGATGTGACAATTTCCAGTGCATACAAAACCTTTTCATTAATGTCCGTGGGAAACGAACAATTCTAGCCATGGTAGATGCTGAGCTTGTGGGAAACGAACAATTCTTGCCACAATAGATGCTGAGCTTTTATGTAACGTCAAGCAGATTTGCATTTAAGCTAAAGAAGAAGGAATTCAGATTCCTCCCTTCATAGAGTATGCGCCGTTCCGTCAGACCAAGGTTTTCCTGATATAGTTGTCTGGGCAGGGTACAAGACAAACATCTTTATTTCAAGTTAGTCTATTTGATACAATATATATTACACAGTGGTTTTTGGACAGATTTGTTGGTTTGACTTTTTTCATTCCTAGCCATAATTTATGTCTTGCACATGCTGCCTTGGTCAGCGCGTCCAGAATGCCATATTTTATTGGTATAGCAGTTTAACAAATCATCAAGATATTTTCTTCCCTTAGTGTCTTGAGAGAATAACATGCATTGAATAATATTGGACCACAAACACACATGGACATAAAGGTCAACAAAAAATGTAGCGCAAAGAAAACTAAACCTTGCCGGGAATATGGAGTCCATGGTCTAGGGTGTGATCCAAACATTTGGACTTTTAGGATTATGAACCTCCCAACAAAATACGGAGGAATTGTTCCCGGCAGGTGAGTCCATCATTCCTTTCAGATCTTATTATAGATTTCAAAGACATGAGAGTACTCTTAGAAGAGACAGAAATTTAGTGAGACATGAAGCAGTTCTCTCCTTCGGCTTTGGCTGCGGCAGGGGGTGACATATGAAGCTTTCAGTCTTGAAGAACATCACTTTTGGATGTGCCTCCATGCCCTATCACTTACCCGTAAAAAACCCTGAACTTCCTTTCAATGACATGTAAAACATGAAAAGTGAAGGATGAGCTTTCTCGGGCTGTTTCAGTACACCTTAAGGTAATAGCATTCAGGACGTTTGTACGTCTTGTATGCACATCTAAATCCAGAGACATGCAGTGGATGCGTCCGTCTAGTATGCAATGGATTCAGAAGCATATTACATTTAGCATGGACAAGAATACCTGCATAGGATAAAACAAAAGATTTTTTAACATACAATGTGCGACATTTGGACTAACAACCACTTCTCAAGATCAGAAATAAAGCTTGAGCTACCATTGAAAATTATTACCAGAAATCTTGGAGGTTATGTTACGTACAAATCATACGTATAAAGGTCATTAAGGAACTTGAAAGAAAGCCATTTTCAGCACAAAAGACTTTGTGAAAAAATAATCTACTTCAGCCCCACATATAATATAAAGCAGTATAATAACCAAAATTTATGTTCTTGCTATTTACGCTGTACTGAGAATTGAGTCTGCTGGCAGAACTTGGAGCTCCCATGTAAACCCATGGTGAGATGAGCCTTTGTACAGAAGACTTTCAGCTACGTAACATGTTCTTTCCTATCAGAAAATTGAGCGGAAAGCAAAAAATTTACTACTACAGTGGGTACGAACACAATCTTACTTTTAAAGCACAATAACTTTATATATTTTGAAAACTCCAGCTTTAAAGTTTTCTTTGTTGCAAGTACACCACGCTCTTTCCAAGTGCAGACACAGGTGCACTTTCTTGTCTCCATCAAGACCGTATTTCGTATCATTATTTATCTAAATCGGTTTGGAGGTTCTTCAAGGCTATCTTTGAGGAAATTTGTGACAGTTGTACATTTGTGTTGATAAATAAGCTCATCATCCTCATAATAATATGTCTTGCTTCAACTTTGTCATGAGGTAAATATTTTGAGTATACCTCGAGGCTAGGATCCATGTTAATAGTATTATCACGTTCAGGGTACTATTGTGATGTTGAAGGAGAATCAGATTCACTTAGGCTCAAATGGTCAAAAATGTTCACGGGATTTTCTTTTCAGGGTGTGTAATGAGCAGGTATTGAATGGATCCTGGACGCTGTAACTGCAAACACGGAAAATCAGGTGTGTAAAGGGAAAAATCCCAAGTTGCAGTCCTCACGAATCATGGATAGGACTGGTTTTACAATAGATTATTTTCTTGTTATAATAGGTGCTGCAACTTTTATTCACAGCCTTCCATGAGATATTCGTGGGGGAAACTGGAGATCACAGACACAAAGCATCCTTTTGACTCTCATTGACTCTATTCTCTCTTTCCAAAACCGTGGTCACCACATACCCTTCGAGTACCCTCTGCATCTGAAAGTTGCAGGAAGTTCTCACGTAAGAGCTTTTGGTTCGTTCAGTACGAAGCCCATTAAAACCGCGAATTGTCGAAAGCTCATCATAAATAACACTTGCCGCCTCGTTTTGACAGCAAATCAGCTTGCACGGCATAGAACATATTATAAATTAAAACTGAATTCCAGGCCGATCAGCTGGTCCAGGACTGGACTTGTTCGAGAGAATTCCACCGTGATCTCTGCAGCAGACCCATGAACCGTGTCCTGAATCTCGATCGAGGACACCAATTACAGCTGGGTAATGTGGGGTAGCAGAGAAAAGGTAAAACAGCCGAGCCCAGAGTGAGAACGGATTGGACGAAAGAGAGGGAGAAATTATGGGAGTTACACAAGTTGAAACGCTAACAACTGCGGGTACTAAGTACGCCTCTCGGACTTCTGATGGCCTTAGTTCCTGGCATAATAGCTCAGAGCGACTGGACACTTGATTAAATCAAACATGCAAGGTTTCATGTGAATTAGACTTTCCGTGCGCTGGCGCCAAGTCATCAAGCAGTACACTTCACTGAAAGACCTTCGAACGTACATGGTTTCGACATTATTACGACGTACGTACTTCAAGCTTTAATACGAAACAGACTCCGTGCTCCATCCACCAAGCTCGCACCCTCTCATAGCTGGGTGGAGTCCAAGACCATCCAGTTACTCCAACACATGCATCTCCAAGCAATGTGCATTGGTAAAGAATTCTCCTAACTCAGACTGGCATTCATTCTCATGATTTTCTATTACGGGTAGGAATGCTCGTCTGATTTCTTACTACTCCTTGTTACGTTTGTGCCATTCAACCAAGTCCTTGCTTCATCGACTGACCTCAAGGTATACAGTTTCCTGGTCAGCCAATGATAGCACACTTGGATGCGTCTAAGCTCAATTCTACGCAGCAATGATTTCGACAATCACTGGCATGCAGGTGCATCTCAAATCGTGTTGAAGAGTGTATAGAGTGCTATGATGGCTGCATTCCTTTGCGTATCACGAACTTTATAGATGACAGAGAATCGCTATCTACCTCCAGGAAATGTGATGATAGAGAATCGTGTGATTCACAGTTTCATACATGATGGTACAGACATTTTTTTCCATTTAGATTCGGTCCAAGTTTCCTGCAAGTCCTGATATTGTTTTACATACGTGCTGCAGTAGATGCCTGGCTCCACAAAGGTTGAGTTTCAATGTTGTGTCACAGGTCATGGTTTCAGTCATCGCATCACTCGATTCCAGAGAGTAATGTTTTCTTACCTCTAGTGACTGAAATTCCTTCGGTTTCTTCGCTTCGCTGGTGTAAGCTCATACTGAGCAGAATTGTTTCCATCTCTTCATCACCTCAGGGTGCTACCATATATCACGACATTCTCTTCACAGTACTGACTGGTGTCGCACGCAAATTTGTTTGGAAAGTCACTTTTCCTAGTGGAGAGGAAAATTTGGTCAAACTATGGTCAACCATGCGCTCATCCTGTCGTTCGTCCTTAGTGTCTTTTTCAGCTCATTATGTGGCCAGTAGGAAGAGTAGTCCATATGTTTGTCGAATGGGAATCCTAGGCCGTGTTTCTAACCTGACTTCGTCCTAACCAGAAGCTTTGTTTGGACGGATCTGTATCTATGTCAACCGAAAGCTAAAACTGTCAACATTGTGTCGTATGTTCATCGTGCGCTCATATTAGCGGATCTTGTATACTACGATTTGGAAAGTTTTCTCGCCGTGTAGATCCACATATTGCAGATAGTAATATTTTCTCTTGTTGTGCATTTTTAGAAGGCCAGCGGGTCTTAGTCTACCAGTGTGACATCAAAAGCTATCGCATTGTACTGTGAGGAATTCCTTTGTCATTCTCCTCGGGCTTCATCAGATGCAGATTCATCTCAGTTCTTTCGCACAGATCTTTGAAGTTCGTTCATGTCTTTCTGTTGTGCGTCTCTGTGCTCGATTTATCCACGTATGTATGGGACCTCTCTAATTTTCTATTCACCTACTTCATCAGTTTCTCAGGTTGAAAAGGTGCTCAATAACGGCTCAAATATACATCATAGAATCATGAAAATAGACTGGCAGGGGAAGGCATGTGATTAGCAGAGGAAAACCCCCTAGACTTCTTCTACTTTACTAGCACTACGATTTCGTTGGTTTTATTCTCTCTGAAAACAGAGAATTCAGTGCGAAGGATAGCTGGACTTCAGTGCAATCCACCAATCCATTTTTCTGACACAAGGTTCAGATCAAGATAAAAAGCTGGAAGAGCCCCTGACTGCATCCTCTGGTATAGAAAAACGAAAAATCTTGGATCAAATTCTGGTATAGAATTGGAGATTACTGACCTTGCTACACTCACATCCTCAAACCGCCTTCCTACACTGCTCTTCAGTGCGAGTCCTAAACTGGCCGTCTATGGGTGTATCTTCCGGGACTTGAAAATCGGAGACATGCAGACATCCTTGAAAATTCTATGGCCTCCTAGAAAGAATCGGTCACATGACATAAACTGAGATATCTTCAGTGCAGTTTGTGGAGAGGGTAACAGCTACACAGAAGGTGTTGCCCTTCACTCGTCGTCACATTCCTCATCGTGTGCAGCTGATGGCTGACTGGGATCCAGAGATGGGTCCCAGTCAGCCATATGCTGTCGAAACTGCTGTATGATGCAAGTGACAGAGCATATTCGGCCATAAATGAAGGAAGTTAAAATACGCCTTCATGCTCCTCAAACTTCTCAGTATTCTAGGTCTCCATATCCAGCTTCTTATAATGACGTGAGCAAATAAATAATCCAAAATGGATCGATCTATGACATTCATAGAATTACTAGATGGACACAACGCAGAAGCCGCGTATGAATACAGTGAAATAAAGACATTAATAAAATATACACACAATACATCCCATTGTAAAAATAGAAAAGGCATTCTCATGTAAGAAAGAGATGCGATCACATCTACTAACGCAGGAGGCCAAAGTCGGCAAAAAAAAAACCCCGGGCCAAAAGAAGAAGAGAGCTGATATTTCTCGTAATAAATCACTATGCATCTAGTACGGCTCTCACATCCATGTAATCAGTATACTGATACAAGAGGTCTAGAATACGGGTCACTAATCCAAAATATCTTTTTACTTCTTCTTTTTTTCTATAGCCTAGACTAACACATGCTCTGATTCTAATGGATGCAATGAGAATATGGTATATGTGCACGAGAACATATCTCATGCCTTATCTAACCACAATCTTGAACAAAAATATTAATGAGTTGTCTAACCATTGTCTCAAGTATGTTGCTTCCTTCAAAATAAATTTAATTACTCCCGCAACCTCAAATGAATTCACTTTATTCATTGATTAAAACTGTTTAATTTGAGTCAAAATTTTTTTTGATAATAATTCATATATTAGTGACATAGATATATGACTTGCTCATAAGTTTTCATGGATTTTCAACATAAATTGATATTGATTATTATTTCTATTTAATTTAGTGAAGGTAGAATCTAGTTATCTCTTACTTTAGATTAATGATACCTCACACTAGTAGGGTGAGGAATAGTATAGTTATAAGTTTAGGTTGAACTTTCGCCAAGAACCAGGGAGCTCTTGTAGTTCGAGTATACTTCCAAATTCAAGCTATTGTCATCGGAAGCGGATCACTACAAAGCCAATCTATGGCTCTAGTGGGGTCACTATTCCAGGTGAAAACTGCGCAGGAAATGAATCCGCGAGTTTGGATTCAATCGGCTTTTCATTCAAAAAAAGCCATTGATCACTCCATTAAGCGTCCCATCCCCACCGACTACAATGACGGAAGCCACTCCGTCCCGGATGGCCTCCCGCGCAACGGCTTGTTCATGACCTACAGAGAATTTTTTCAAATGTTCTAATTGATGACCAGGCGAGCTGTGAACTTGGGTAGCAGTTTCTTACATGAATACCCCATTCTTCCGTTAGCATCATTCGGATTGACGATGAAAACATAATTTTGTTTCCGGATGATCTTTTGCTCCAGAGGTTACATGTAACTCACAGGATGCAAAGACGATAATCTCGGAACTCCATCTTTTTCACATACTGACGACTATTCCGTTACAAGCCTTCTGGATTAACTCTATTGTCACTTGCAAAGGTCCGATTGAGAAAGTGTCCGAACACGTGGCTCAGTTGTTTCATTATAACTCACCCTAGTTAGTAGGATGAGGAATAATTAGTCTAATCTGGGATATAACTAGTTGATACTTTAATTAATTAATACTTAAAAATGAATAGTATCATTCAAATGTTTAGTTTAAGGTTTATATAAGTTTAAAGTTGAATGTAACACATTGATCAAATTTTCCTTACATGTTTTTAAATATAATTTGATAAAATTTCTAAGAAAAATAAAGACGCCATAATTTCATAAAATTTCTTTACACAAAGTTTTTAAGTTTAAATTTTCTGCAACTTTGTAGTATTTAAAATATATGAATTTTATATAGTAATTATTATTGATTTAAATTAAATTTTGAATTAATTTGAAAAAATAATTTAGTTGTTAATAAATATACCTGAAATGATTATTTTGAAATAATAAGCATAATATTTGAATCTTAAATGAAAAATTTCAAGAATTATTGCAAGAGTTGTATGATTTCAATGACCATAATTTTATGAAATTATTTTTTAATATATATTTTTATTTAAAATATATTGAGCTATAAAATTATGATTATAAAAAATTCAATTCAATTTTTATTAAGGAATTGTAATATTTGTTGAATTTAATGCACACAAGTCTGTATATTTTTTTCTGATGTATTATTTGATTGCAAAATTCTATTTGGCTGATTTTTTCAGATTGAAAAGTGAATCAATATTTTTTTCCATGAATGTTAAATAAGAATACATTTATGGTACCGAATTGATCTTATTTCTAAATTTTGACAAATTTTAAATGCATATGATTAAAGATGTATTGGAAAAAAAAATCCACAGAGAAGTATTTAAATGTAAATTGGTAAATAATATAACTTCAAGATTTATATTTAATATTCAAAAAAAATAATTTATATCTAAATTATTTTTTTCTTGTTTCCAACAAAACATATTCCACTTTTACAATTTACAAACAGTTTCTCAAATAATTAATTTTCTCTAATGTCAAGTGATTAAAGACAAACAAATCAATATTAAAAATAAATTATAGAACATTTTAAGAAGGGGAAATATACATATATATATTGTCACATGCGTCATTTTCCTATAGAATATACATTATGTATCATAGCATTGGTTTTTTTTTTTCATCATCACATGTGTTACAATCTTGAAGTTATTTTTTATTATTGAACAATATTATTTGTTATATGATTTGATTTAAACAGATAACAAAATACACCTTTTTCACTCATCATATTGTGATAATTATGATTATAAGTCTTATTGATAACGAGTAAATATAAAGCGACATTTACTCTATTTTAGCTTTTATCATTTTCAATCAATTACAAAATTGTTCAGTCAATTGTATAAAAGAAAAATTGTTTGATTTAACTGATAATCGATGATTACTTGGTTGAATTGAGTTGCATTAAAAAACCATGTAATAGATTAAATATTTAGAATATTCTTTATTTTTTTTGGAAAAATCTATAAATTTAAAATATATTATCCCATAAATCTGCTAACAGCTTTGTTTCAAATAATTTAAAAAAATCTATAAATTTATGATATTTTTTGATTGGTGGTTTGCATGAAATAAAGATTTTAAATCAACATCAATAAAGAATGAATGTAAATCTTCTATTGAAAGAAAATTTTGTTTAAACAAATGTATTATATGAAACACAAATATTTCTTGATTGCTTATTTATCTTTGATTTTTTTTGAAAAAATAAAGTTACATTCTCGAATCATGTTAGACCTTTAAAAAAATTAAATAACAAGATGCAACAAGCAAAATTGATCTCAATTTGATTTAAAGTTGATCAAAACTTCATTTTTAAAACAAATTAAGTTTGTAAATTGATAAATGAAATCTTTACAATAATAATTTTTCAAATTTTATAACATCAACGTTGATGATCAAATAATTTATATTTTTATATTTGAAATGTAGCTTGATGAGTATAATTTTATTGATTTCATACTTAAGCAAATAGTGAAATTGTAATCATCAATCTTATAATGATAAAAAAATAAACTCCTAAAAAATATATAATTTTTGACAAATTTTAAACAATAACAATAAATCCTAAGGAAAAATTTGTTGAAAAAATAATTTCAAGTTTACTTTTATTTTAATTTTCAATTCAATTAACTGTCAAAAATCAAAGTAAAATGATATTAAGTTGAATCGTATCATAAAACTAGTCTTGAAATATTTTAGCCAGCACTAACAGCCATTAAAATATAACCCATTATGTTTTCATTGAGTTTTATGATATAAATGGTAAATGGTAATAGATCAAGCCCGGGGAACCCAAAGGGTCAAAAGGCTGAAAAACACAATACAAGCGACAATCACAAACAAGAAAGAAGACCCCAAAGTCAAATCCCTAGCTAGTGCCAAGAGCACTAGAACTGTAATTAATAATGTTCCTAATACAACAACCTAAATCAAAAGTAACTAACTGTAACAAAGAATAGAAATTCTCCACATCTATATTATGAGCAAGCTTAATGTCTTCGTACCTAGAACAAGTAACAAATACATGCTCTTCATACTCAACGTACCCATTGACACATAATCTATAAATACATTCACTCCTATCAATATTAAGCCAACGTACTTCCTCAATTTCAAGCTTATGAGATCCAGTTCTATGTCTAGCAACAATGTGATGTAAGTACATAGAGATTCCAGCAAGTAGATAATAGTGTTCACAATAAACAAGCATAGGACTCACATGAAATTGATAAAATTGCATCTTGATGCCGCGCTTACTCCAAATAATGTTAAGAAACTTCTCCTTTATACGTTCACGTAAGGCCGTAGGTTGCAAGTCCCAATCGCGTTCCGTCACATTCCACCTCAAAGACCAAGATATCACATCCGCTAGCCATCCTTTGGCACGTGTGGCACTCAAAGCTTGAGGAGTAAGGCAAGAAGCATCAAGAGATCTCACCCTGCTGATGTAAGTGATGGTCAAGTAGAGAGCTTTAGCCTTTAGAGGTAAACAACATGTTTCCGCAAGAAGAATATCATATGAAGTTTGGTTTCTCACATCCAATTCTTCTTGTAGAAATATCTTCTGCACCCTCTCCACATGCTCCCAACATATCTTCTTACAAACAGAATCCCACACTTGGGTTCCATATAATACTACCGGCAACACTGAGCTTATGAATAAAAATTTCCTAAGACTCCAAGACACTAGATGTGACCTTCTACACCGATTGAACAATGAATATAGAGCTTTGTAACCACCTTCTACTCTCTTTTGCACGCAAAGTGTACAACTATAATCCTTAGAAAAATCAATGCCTAGATATTTATAATCCTTCAACTCTTCTAATTGTGATCCTTGTAATAGAAGGAAAACTGGAATCTAGTGCCCACTATCATGACTTTAGACTTCTCTATATTTACCTCCATTTGATTCTGGATACAAAAGCTAGCCAAAGTGTATAGGTGTCTCTGTATACTAAAAGCATCACGTGCTAGTAATATGATATCATCTGCATACAAGAGAGCTTTGATAACAAAGTTTTCAAGCTTGACACTTTCATTATCACATGCATCCAACCACTTTTCATCTATGAAAACTCCAAA